TTTTGCATGCTCACATCGAATTTTTTATAAATTTCATGAAAATGAGCTTGCAATTGTGTGGATCTAGTTCTTTGTAACCTTTTTGTTTCAACTGTTTTTTTTTGAATAGAATAAAAGATGATGATGATTTATCATCAATTATTGATTCTTTCTATGCTAAATTTACATGCCATTACAAATTTTCAAACTTACGTGAACTGATTTATAATATAGAGCTAAGTTCAAATTTTTAGTTTCTGAAAGGATTTTCTTAATAAGGGTGTCGGTGTGGGTGTGGGTGTGGGTGTAGATATCTGTTTGAGTCACACCCACCCACTCACACCCACACCCACACCCATCCACACCCACACCCCACACCCACACCCACACACCCACAGCCACACCCACACCCACGCCCACCCACACCCTACAGCCACACCCCACCCACACCCACCCACACCCACACTCCACACCCACCCACACCCTCGTTATTTATATGATTCTATTATTAGCAAGACGCATTATTGTATATATTAACAGATACAGATTAAATTAAGCGATAATAATTGGAAACGATGACGAATCGTGAAAAAGAAAGAGATTTTAAAAATAAAAATCCATCATTAAGTTTTAACTTAAATCTTGTTAATATTGAAAGTAAAGAAGCAGAAAAGAAATCTTCTCTTCAAGATATAAGATGTAAAAATGATGATGAATATAGTAGTAGTGACGAAAATAATATTGTTGATATAGTATATTTGCCTGAAATTTTAATGATTAAAAGGAAAAAAGATCAATTTTATTAACATCTTTTATCGATCGGTAACAAAATTGATTATGGTACAATTAACGAAAAATGACGTGAAGGATAACGTACATCTAGTATTAATGATGAAGAAGAATATTATTCTAGTTCATGAAAAGATGATAAACCTGATGGATATGATTATAATTTTAAAAATCACGGTGAATATGAAGGTAAGATTAAAGATGGAAAATTCCATGATCTTGAAAGTGTTCTTAAACCTATAGCTGAGTGGAAAGAAGAAAACAACAGAATTTGTTTATATAAATGATATTGAACAATATTATAAAAATCAATATGAAGTTTGTTTTTTATAATAGTTTACAATCTACAATTTTATTAAATAATGAAAAACAATAAAAATAAAGATAATATCTTCAAAATTTCATTGATTTATTTGAAAAACGTCTTTCAAACCTTAATTTACTAAAAGAAATAGTTACTAAATCTATTCTACACCGAGAATTAAAATCATCAGTTGATCCTTTATTTAAATTAGATCATAGTTATTCAAATTCCAATAAATAAACTAAAACAGATACAAAAAAAACAAAACTTCTAATGATTGTATTAATAATATTTGTTGAAGAAGTTTTAAAAACTATGATCGAAGATTAAACAAAATCTCAATTTTCTAATTTAAAAATAATACTTTATTTTAATCCATTGGTAATTGATTTAATTGAAAAGATACTACATTTAAAAAATTAGAAGAAAATTAAAATAGTTCTATTCTAGTAAAACTCAATGGAGAATATGTTTTTCATAAAAACATTAAATGATAATCAAATAGGATTCTATAGAAAATTGTTCCTAATGGTATTATTGTATCATTTCATGCAAGAAAGAATTCAAACAGCGATATTAAACACTTTATATAGCATTAAAATTGATAAATTAAAAGAAAATATATGAAGACATCAATTTAAATTAAATGAAGATATTTTAGTAGATGAGAAAATTATTAAAAATGATATTGAATCAATTATTTGAATATAATCTATTCGTTAAGATACTTTGACTAACGAGATAAGAAATGAATTTTTTAGTGAAAATTTTGTAAGATTCTAAAAATTAAATTCTTAACTTATTACAAACGAAAAATCTATCGCATTATGTTGTGAATATAAATATCGATGCTGAATATTTAAATCGATTTTCTACTTATTTAAAATCAATGATAGATTATTTAAAGATACGAAGTTCAATTATTAAAATAAAATGAAAGAGATTAAGAAAATTCAAATTCGAGTTAGAATTAATTGAAGAAAAACAAAGTATTACAAAAATTATTGATTATTTTCTTAATTTTAATATAGAATTTTATGAATTAATAAAAACTTTTCAAAAACATTTTTCGTCTCGTATGCATTCAGAATTTTATGAAAATGCTTCAAAAATCATGTCTTTAATAACAGATATTCTTAAACAAGAGCAAAGAGAAAGAAGTTATGCCTAGTCAGTCTGATACAGTTAAAAAAATGTAAAACGTCGAATTCAAAAGTTGCTTTGCAAAGAAGATTTTTTGAAGGAAACATTGTTGATATAAAAGTTTTATTACAATTGCATATAAATATTAATGAATAAGGTGATGACCCTAAAACAAAAACCGCCTTACATAGAGCAGAACACATATTTTATTTCATTTCTCTCTTAGATCATATTGACAAACATAAAAAAAATGAAAATCCAAATAAATTTGAAAATGAATTAAAGATTAATAATTTCGATACTGATTTCTTTTTTGAAAAAATCGAAGAAAATGATATTTATAAAATTCTAAAAATTAATGAAGCTACAAAAAAATAATAAAATCATGCATGTTTTCATTATGTATTAAATACAATTATAGAGAATTATTAAAAGTGTAAAGATATTTAATCAAGTAGGTCGCATAGAAATTATTCAGTTGAGAGCAAAATTAAAAGAAGATTGTTTCATTCCATTTCAAGATGTAACAATAGATAATGAACCTTATGAAACATTTTGTAATAAATTAGAAAATATTGAAAAGAAATAACTCTTGATCATGCTCGAAAATCGTTTCAAGAAAAAAAAAACGAAATTTTATTAGGAATTCAAAAGATAAAAAATCCTTTTTTTGACACTGAAAAGTTATTTCGAAAGTATTTTCATGAGATTATCAAAAAAAAAGAACTCGAATTAAACACATAATTAAAGAAACGAAAAAAATTTGTTAATAAATCGAATTTTAAAAAAGAAACTATCCCAGTTATCATTACTAGACTATCAATTGTATTTTATGACAATCTCATTGTATTCTAATTCTTAGAGTATTAATACTATTAGATATTGTTGGAAAAATGAATTCACTTCCTTGTAGTCATCTTGCTGAGATTTTAACTGGACAAGAAAAATCTTGGGCCTGAGTTCTCTTAGGAGGATTTTTTTAGTTTGATTGGTTATCAAATAACAGTATATATTTTTTCAGACATTCTATCAGGAGAAAAAACTATCTTCTACAAATATTAAACAAAATGAAAAAACAAAAATAAATTTTTTTGAACTGATAAAGTTGATGAATTTCTTTTCATATCAATTTGGTGAAATGTATTGTCAAATAGTTAGAATTAAAAGGGTGGGTGTGGGTATAATTAAACAGACTACCAAAATTGATATCCACACCCTCAACTTGTCAAACTCTATCTACTCATTTATTAAAAAAACCACGAGGAAAAAAATTGGCTTTAATTTCATATAATTCAGGCCTTGCTAGAAAATTTTATTTTTACCAAACAGTGCTCAATAAAAAATAAGAGAAAATTAGAAATCCTCTAGAATTCATTGCCTTGAATACTTTGATACTTGCATTGAAATAGAATGAAACTAGGTGTCTACAAAGCTCGAGCTATTCAATTTCGATCAGACTCATTTAGGATCTGACTGAACCCAAGTTAAACTAATGCTAAGTCTAACAAAGTTCAAACCCGACCAAGTCTAAACTGTTCAGTCTAGATTCAGCTCGATGCAAATCTACGATATAACGAATAACTAATATAAAGATCAAAATGATTTAAAACTTTTTATTCTTTACGTAATATTGAAGTCTTCACTAAAATACTATGGTTATTTTCTAATTATTCTTTTTATTTGAAAATTTTTGTATTTTAGAATAATATTTCTTATTATATTCCCTAGGCTTTATTTCATTCTTATTCTTGAAAACCTATACACAATGATCAGTTTTCAATAATCCATGTGACAAAATCAATTATGAAAAGAAAACTATATTTTGTTAAATTTCAAGTAAGACAACAAATGTAATAGATACTTAAGTTGAACTGGCGTTGAAATGAAATGAGCAAATACTTTTGTACGTACTTTATTTAAGTTTATTGATTGTACTAACAACTTTCTAAAAAGATTGATTTTTTTTTGATCTAAGTTATTCATATATTTTAAGTAAAGAAATAAACTTATTCTAAATAATATTTTCTAAAGACAAAATAAATAAATATAAGTGATACTTTATATAACATAATTATTTGTTTGATCTTTACAAAGAGTATTAAATATATTTTATGAAAATAAAATAAATATTTCATTACAGGTAATCTTCGCCCAATACATATGTGTTGGAATGAAGACAGACGACTCTTGATAAGATTCTGATAGTTTATTTTATCATAGCTTTCGAAATGCTTTTTCAATGGATAGTCGTATCTTCCTTTTCAGAAATGATATATAAGATCTTTCAACATCGTCGTACGGTAATATGAATATGAATCGATTCTACTAGGATTTATCAAAGAACTCATTTAGGAACAACAATCAACTTAAGTTTCAACTTTCGAATATCAAAAACACTCCGATTCTATTTTTATGTGTATGTGAGCTGTAGATTAAAATGGAGGAAGTGTCAAAAGTCAGTAGCAGTCACACTCAACTTCGATATCTATACTTTACAATGTATAAGTTAATATATGTGAGACCGTACCTATGGTCAGGAACATTAACGTTGACTTTGAGAATCATAAACGGTATGTTTGAGACCAACAACATAGAAGAAAATCATAAAGGGTAGGTGTGAACTCTATTGTTTCATCCTTAAGACTAAAAACTGATGAAGTTTTTCAGTTCGACATTTCTTGACTAAGA